GTAGAGTTTGTACTCAATTGGTATGGGTAGAGTTTGTACTCAATTGGTATGGGTAGAGTTTGTACTCAATTGGTATGGGTAGAGTTTGTACTCAATTGGTATGGGTAGAGTTTGTACTCAATTGGTATGGGTAGAGTTTGTACTCAATTGGTATGGGTAGAGTTTGTACTCAATTGGTATGGGTAGAGTTTGTACTCAATTGGTATGGGTAGAGTTTGTACTCAATTGGTATGGGTAGAGTTTGTAGCCTTACATGTGTTTGGTCTTGTGTCTTGTGTCTTTTTTTGTGCTTGGCATAAGCATGACAATGGTTGAGGTGTGTGTGTGTGGGTGGGTGGGTGGGTGGGTATGGTGAGTGTGTGTGTGTGTGGGTGTGTGTGTGTGGGTGTGTGGTGGTGCACAAATGTGTGGTGGTGACTGTGGAGTAGGTCAACAGTTTCGTAGCAGGTATCTACATGTGGGACGCTGTGTCCTGTGTCATGTGTAATTGCTTGCTCCTCTAGATACTGTATAGTGAGGGTAACGGCAGGTGCACACCAAGGTGATCAGTACGCAGTCGTCTCTGATCAGCTAGACGCCCTACGGAAGTGCCTTGACATAGAGGTCGTATGCCAGCTTGCAGGCAAGTACTGCACCACTGTGTGTACTAACAGTTAACATGTGAATGAGTTGTACAGCTAGCTGAAGGTGATCATGGGATTCAAGCATTCAACCTTTCCTTTCATCTTGCCCTCGGTAATGTTGTCTGGAGCTAACTATCACTAGCACACTTCACAATCCAAGATTTCCTTTCCTTGTTGTTTCTAATGCGGTGGATACAGCTGACAAACTGGCCGGTCTGCAATGTCACCATCCTATTGACAGTGATCGTACTGTGCCAGTCTTGGTCGGTGATCATGTGACCTCTTCCAGTGGCACTGGACTGGTACATACTGCACCCAGTCATGGACATGATGACTATCTGGTCGGTCGTAAACACCAACTACCACTAGTAAGTTCAGATACACCCCCCCCCCCCCCCCACACACACGCACACACATGCATGCACCACACACACACACACACACACACACACACACACACACACACACACACACACACACACACACACACACACACACACACACACACACACACACACACACACACACACACACACACACACACACACACACACACACACACACACACACACACACACACACACACACACACACACACACACACACACACACACACACACACACACACACACACACACACACACACACACACACACACACACACACTCTCTCTCTTTTCTCTCTCTCTCTCTCTCCCTTTCGTCATCTCTCTCTCTCTCTCTCTCTCTCTCTCTCTCTCTCTCTCTCTCTCTCTCTCTCTCTCTCTCTCGTAACATTTTGTAACCTGATGATAGAAGTGTTGACATGTGTTTGCTCCTGTTTATGTTAATGGCTGTGGTTTTCCTCTCTTCCTTCTCAACAGCCATCTCTTGTTGAGGACAATGGTTGCTACATAGAAGAATGTGGCTCAAGACTTGCTGGAAAGTTTGTGCTGACAAAGGGAAATGCTGAGAGTAAGTCTTGAGTGGGTACAAGCCAGTTGTACATGTACATCTGTACATGTACATGATGGGAGTGCATGTGCATGAGCCTATCCAAGGGCCTGGGCATGGTTGTCAATGCAATGCTGTTCTAAGAAATCCAGTCGTGTGAGTCAACACAGCAAATGAAAAATAGGGATTCATTGGCCAGAAAAAGACATTTCAACCAGCCGTGTGGTGTAGACCAGGCTAAAATTAGTGGCGGTCAAGTCATCAGCCATGCAAGCTGTTGAATGGTGTAATCCCAGCTCAAGTTGCTATGTCGAACATAGCTTGTTCGCTATCATCGCTTCAGCGATGGGCAGGAGTATGAGGAGGAGGGTATTGTGCAACAGCCCCAGACCTGCGGCCAACACTGGGCTGTATACACTGGTGCGAGGTGCTGTGCAGACGCATTTTGAAACGTGACTGCTCGACTTTTGAGCTGATGTGTGTATTCGTCATGTTGTTCTTTCATCGTAGTTCTATGTATGCTGGATGAGAGGAGGATACTGGTGTCCCATCGAGAATTCTCACATCGCTATCCCATAGACTGGCGCACCAAGAAGCCGGTGATCGTACGCCCCATGAAGCAGTGGTTCATCAAAACCAAGGACTTGGTGCAAGAGGCATTGGTTAGTTACTAGTAGTCATAGTAAAATAAAAGTTAATAATAATAATAATACCGCACTCTATGATTTGGCAATTTGCTCAACTCAAAACACACACTGTGCATGCGTGTGATTCTTCCACGATGAATGCTCTCGAGTCTGAACCTCAGTGCTGGTATTTACCGAAGAGGCTATCTACTGTACATGGTGTGTGTGGTTCTACTCGCTTTTTTTGTCTGTTTTTTTTGTTTTGTTTTTTTGTTTTTTCTGTCCCGAATAGACATGTTTGGAGAGTGTCAAGTTCATCCCGGATACAAGCGATGCCGCTTTGAAGTCCATGCTGAAGCTGAGGTCTGACTGGTGTATATCTCGTCAGCGCAGTTGGTGTGTTCCCATTCCCGTCTTCTACGGTGCTGAGTCTGGTCGCCATGCCGTCAATAAGTATGTGCCACTGTGTCTCTGAGATTCTTTCTCTCTGCTCAAAAAGACGCCGTTTTTCTCACCATGTGGTCAGCAGCCAGTTTGCAGTGAAACTGTGATTGAAAAATGCAGCTTGTGGACTGTGTGTGGATTGGGTGTGGGCTGTGTATAGACTGTGTGTGGACTGGTTGGACTGTGTGTCGACTGTGTCCTGTGCTGAACCGTGATCGTCTTCTGATGGGTGCTTGATTGTCTGATGTATCATCATCCTGCAGAGAGATTATCGAGCATGTGAGATCGCTGGTGTTGGAGCATGGCTCAGACATTTGGTGGTCAGCCGACATTGACCAGCTGCTTCCCAAGGATCTGCGTGAAAAGGTATGGTGGTATGGGGTGGAATGGTCATTTTTGCAAGCATTAGAATGAATGCGAGCCCAGGCACTGCGTAGCTGGTATGATAAAAAAAGAAATCTAGCTGTCCTGGTGTGTGTGGGTGTGGGTGTGGGTGGGTGTGGGTGTGAGTGTGTATGTGTGTGCTCGAAGATGGATTCCCCGACTACCCAGCTACACACTTGATGAATGTGGTGTGGCCTAGCCTGCACTGTAGCTGTAGCACAGTGCTGCTGAAAGTGTCCGTGGGTATCATCCCAGTGTTCTCCTGTTTCTTTCTTGTTCAGCTCTTCATCTTTATCAGTCACCACCAGCCTTTAGCATAGAACATGACTGTCACTGAACACACACGCATGACAAATTGATAGTACAGACAAGCCTACTAGCACAGTGTGTGTGGGTATGTGTGGCAGTGTACTCAAGACTGGCTTTGCTTTCTCTTCCGCTGGTCTTGTAGTACTTTGATGGCGAAGAGGTTGTTCGTGGATATGATACCATGGACGTTTGGTTTGACAGTGGCTGCTCTTGGAGCAATGTCGTCCCCAGGGATGAATGTGAGTACATTGCCGAATTATTTACTGTTGTTGTTCTTTCTGCACTATGCTTGTGTGGTTCAATCATCAGCCTCTGGGTTTTTTTTGCAGTGTGCAAGAATGTTGTTGTTGTTGTTGTTGTTGTTGTTGTTGTTGTTGTTGTTGTTGTTGTTGTTGTTGTTGTTGTTGTTGTTGTTGTTGTTGTTGTTGTTGTTGTTGTTGTTGTTGTTGTTGCCTTAGCTGGTCAACATGCGGTTGCTGATCTGTACTTGGAAGGACAGGATCAGGCCAGGGGTTGGTTCCAGTCGTCTCTGCTCACTTCCACAGCACTGCGCCGGCAAGCACCGTACAAGTAAGCAGCAACAGCAACAACACATGGGACACACTGGGTCTTGCGGTATGCTGGTCACATCTGCCTGAGCACATGCCATTCACGTATGCTTCTGTTTGAACTTTCTAACAAGAAACACGGTGGTGCTATGAGCATGTTGTTCACTACTACACTATGGCCTCGGGAATGAGTCTTTCGCCATGCCGTTTTCATCGCATGGTGAGAATATATTGCATCGCAGCCCAAAGAAACTATATTTCATCACGAACGTGGGACCTATGCCGTGCTTCAACATGTACCATGCTATCGATATGTCCCTTGGTGACTCCATCGAGGAAGATATTTGTTTGCTTTTGTCGAGCAGACGTGGATAGAGTGAGTTGGTCATTTTGCATGCTTTCACGCAAAATATTTCTTCGATTCCACAGCGAGTTTTCCAGCCAGCTCAAGTACGGTAAAACTGTAGACTCGATGCACAACTCGCAGGATGGAGTATTATTTTAAAAATGGACTTAGTACCTGTTGGTCTTGACTCTTGACTGCCAGTGTTCGTTCTGTTGCGGCGGTGACCCCGTGTTGTATCGTGTGTCAGGAGCATGCTATTTTGTATTCTGTGTGTTTCTTGTCATGCAGAACTCTCTTCATGCATGGATTTGTCCTGGACAAATCAGGCCAGAAGATGTCCAAGTCGAAAGGCAATATCATCGATCCGGTCGATGTTGTCCACGGCATGAAGGTATAATGTAGCTTGTAGTTTGCTCATTCCTCCACTCCGAACATTCCCACATCTGTTGTTGATATTCTTGGTGTCTGGATCACTCTGGAGATAGTATTCACTAGCAAGGGTGTGTTGTGTTCCTGGAAAGGTTTCTTTCAGCCTGAAATTGTCAGTTTTGATCTGGTCTCAGCTACTATGCCCCCCCCCCCCCCCGGGAAGTGCACTGCGGCCTGAGCACATAGCCAATATAGCTGGGTTTGCGTATGCGTATTTGGCGTTGTGTCTCCAGAAGGGCAAGGAGCCGGTTGCTGCCATTGGCTCGGATGCACTGCGCATGTGGGCCACTCTGAGCACGTGTCAATCGCCTCTGATTGGTCAAGACGAGATCAATACGGCGAGTGAACGGCTAAGATTCGTAAGTCGGCCGTGCTGTGTTCTGTTTGAGGTACTCTTGGTTGGTTGCTGAGTTTGCCATGCTTCTCGGCTTCGAACGGCATTGTATTTTTGGTGACTCAAGGATAGATCATGCTCAAATGTCAGGAAAGCATACGGAACATGATGGTACAACATGACGGCCTGCTATAAGTGCTAATAGCCATTTAAGCAGCCTACGAGCAGTCCCGTATGTGACCTGTGGCTCTTGAGAATGCTATTAGCATATCTGTCTTGCCATGATGGCTTTAACTAGTTTGGCTTGCTGAAAGTGGTTCTTGGGTTCCTTCTGCTTTGGCTGATAGACAAGTGCTATTGTTGGTTTATATATTCGAACGATACTTATTCTATACTTATTCTATCGTGCTCAACATACAGGGAGTTTGTGTATCGTAATAACTCGAGCGTGAGACACATCGATACCTTCATAATTGGATTGGCTCCCTTGATTCTGTGTGGATGTGTGTGTTTGTGTGTGGGTGAGTGTGTGTGTTTGTGTGTGTGTGTAGTCTCTTGAGGTCAGTTTGATCTTTTGAGGCTCTGTCTAGTTCCCGTCTTCTACTTACTTGGAGCTCTCCCTAAGTTAGTTCTCGCCCCCCAGGGCTCTCCTAGCCTTGCTAGGAGAGCCCCTGGCGTCCAGATAGAAATACAGGTCGGAGAGGCTCACGGCGCGTCTTCCAGGACAATTTAAATTTTGATATTGTCACTGGCGCGCCGCTCTCCGTCCTCCATCCGCAGTGGGCTAGCTACCCCTCGGATGTCGCCTCTACCATCCTCAGCTTTTCAGCAACCAGAAAACGGGCGACGTCGTCGCAGGCAGGATCCCCCCAGCAGAAGCGATTCTCTACTAAAATTCGCTTCGTGGAATGTCAGAACTCTCGTGAATGCTGACGGCCCAATCGAAACTGCTGCGTCTGGACATAGAGTAGTCGAGGACAGGAAGATCAATACTGTCATAAATGAGCTGAAGAGACTCGACATCGAAGTGGCTGGACTTCAGGAATCGAAGTGGTTTGGAGCTGAGATCTACAATGTCGCGGATTCGATCGTGTTGTCGTCTGGACGTCCCGTACCATCTGAAAATTTCAAACGCGGAGAAGGAGTCTGCATCGTCCTGAGAGGCCGTGCACGGAACGCTTTCTCGGCAGGAGGAAACCAATGGACGGCGGTATCGTCGAGAATTGCACAATGCAAGTTGAAGTTCGTCCACCACGGAAACAAAAACACCTGGATCAATGTGATTGCATGCTACGCTCCAACTTTCAGATCAAGTAGGGAGTCCAAAAATGAATTTTTTGCATCCCTGCAAGCGAGCGTAAACTCAGTGCCACCAAGTCAACAATTGATTATCCTTGGCGACTTCAATGCACGGGTTGGTCTCATCCAGAGTGCTGATCCATGGTATGGGACTTGTGGAGATAATGGGATAGGGGAAACGAACCACGCTGGACTGGAACTGCTCCAGTTCTTGACATGCAACAGCCTCACTGTGTGCAACACCTGGTTTGCCAAGAAGCGTATCCACAAGTATACATGGCAGCACCCACGGTCGAAGAAGTGGCACTGTATCGATTATGCCATTGTCAGGCGGCAAGATCTGCTAGCCTGCACAGACTGCCGCGTTATCCGTAGTGCGGAGTGTAGTACCGACCACAATCTTGTATGCTTATCGTTCTGTCTGTCGTACACCGTCAACTTTCGCACCGGAGTAGCACGGCGTTCACGCTTTAATATCCAAGCTCTCATGACCCGCCCTGGTATGACCGACGAACAATCTAATGTCGTGCAGGCTACTCGGCTCCAATTCGCCTCCGGTGTGCAACACCATCTGCAATCGTCTGGGCCAGCTGATACCGTTGATGCCAAGTGGTCGGCATACAAATCTGCCTTGACCTCCAGCGCTGAGGCACACCTGGGCAAACCCGTTCGACTACAACCAGACTGGTTCCTAGCAGCAGCAGACATCCTCCAACCTCTTTTTGCTGAGCGCACACGCCTCCATCAACAGTGGCGTCAATCAGAGCTGCCAGCGGACCACCGCCGCTTCCTCGATGTCCGAGGTAGATGTCGTACCGCAGTTGGTGCAGCGAAGAGTGCATGGTTGGAGCAGAGAGCTAGCACTGTGGAGCGTGGCAAATTTAGTGGTAAGCACGTTTGGTCCGCCATCCGAGACATTCAACGGTGCTATTCAGGACTCCGATCCGTCACCATCCATCCGGTCCGTAATGCTGAGGGCATAGTTTGCACGTCTTTGGAGGAGCAGGAAGACTGCTGGTCCACTCACTTCTCGAACTTGCTCAATGTCCCCAGTACCTTCAATGCCTCCACCGTTGCTAACATCCCTCAACGTGAGCCTGACGAGTCTCTGGCAGTCACACCAACAATGGAAGACCTTGTCGTCGCCATCAGACACCTTGCAAATGGCAAAGCTGGAGGTTCCTCGCGTATAGTCCCCGAGCTTGTGAAAGCAGGTGGCCATGATTCCCTGGACGCATTGCTGGATCTCGTCCAACTTGCTTGGACGACGGCCACTGTTCCGCAGGAATGGCGCGATGCCGAGTTGGTTCCTGTTCCCAAGAAGGGCGACCTGTCCAAATGTGATAATTGGCGGGGTATTGCCCTTCTTGATGTTGTTGGCAAGGTGTGTGGCCGCATGATTCAAGATCGCCTGCAGTTGTTGGCTGAGTCGGAACTCCCAGAGTCCCAGAGCGGCTTTCGGCCAGGCAGGGGCTGTGTTGATGCCATCTTCTCGCTCCGCCAGCTAATTGAGAAAGCATACGAACATCGTCAGCAGCTCTTCTGTGTGTTTGTGGATTTGAAAAAGGCGTACGATTCTGTACCACGCGCTGCTCTCTGGGTGGCCTTGGGCCGACTTGGGGTCCCGCAACAGCTAGTGGCCCTGATTAAGGCTTTCCACACCTCTACCTCTGCCTCGGTCCGAGTTGGCAACTCCACCTCTGATGAGTTCCCTGTGGTTAATGGTCTCCGACAAGGATGTGTCATGGCACCCGTTCTCTTTAACCTGTACTTCGGGGCGGTTGTTGAGACATGGCGTGCCCGGCTAAAGGATGCAGGTCGTAGTCACTCTGTCAGCATCCAGTTTTCCATCGATGGCCAACTCTACCCCCGCTCATCATCGCGCAGGGCTGGCGAGTCACTGTCTGTTAGTGACCTGGAGTATGCTGATGATGCCGTTCTCGTGTCTGAATGCCGTAGTGATGCTGAGTTTGGTGTGGAGCTCTTCTGTAGTGTTGCCCGAGAATTTGGACTAACTGTGAGCATCGCCAAGACGAAGATCATGACGGCAGGCCATGGGGTCTCTGCTGAAGACTCGGCTGACATCGTTCTCCCCCTTGGCACTATCGAAGCCGTGCCGAAGTTCACCTACCTAGGATCCATAGTGACCCCTGACAGTCGTTCTTCATCCGACATCAAGCGCCGTATTGCCGAAGCCTCAAAGGCCTTCGGAGCCCTCCAGAAGGTATTCACTGACAGATCTCTGTCCCTCTCTAGTAAACGCCACCTGTACATGGCCTGCGTTTCCTCAATATTACTGTATGGCGGAGAGTGTTGGACCCCACTCCAACGGGATATCAGAAGTTTGGATAAATTCCACCATCAATGCATCCGGACTGTCCTCAGCATCACCAAGCCTCGTCAGTGGTCCGAGCGGCTGTCATCCACAGACTTGTTGAACCGTTGGGGAGACCCAGTACTGATGTCTACACGCCTCCGCAATCGGCGTCTGGAATGGACTGGGCACGTTGCGCGTATGGATGAGGATCGCACCCCCCTCCAACTCCTCTTTGGGTGGCTACCTGTGCCTCGGCCGTTTTGTGGTCCCCGGCGACGGTGGAAAGACACGGTGATGACCGACCTCAAGGTTGCACTGCAACAGCCATCTCAGTGGTTCATCCTTGCTCAGGACCGCCAACAGTGGAGGGAAGTACGGGTTGCCCCTCAGTCGAGCTCCACCATGCCCAAGTCTGTGCATTGCGCAGTGTGTGACCGGAACTTCTCACGGGTCTCAGATAGAACGCGGCACAAGTGCACCACTCAGAGACGGCTTCCCATCCAGCTCCAGCGTGGATCAGTGCAATGCCAGAACTGCCAGAGGTGGTTCCGCAGCAAGGGTGGCTACTCTGTTCATCGATGCCAGCCTGTCACGAGTTCTCCTACACCAACAGTCAGTCTGTCTGTGCCACTTTCAGCTTGTTGCCAGCAGCACTGCCCAACATGTCAGCGATGCTTCCGTTCTGCGGCCGGGTTCAAGCGCCACAACTGCAATCGTGGTGCGAGACCATCTGCTGCTGAGAGAGCAGCTCTGCCCCTCAGCTGCCCACGTTGTAAACGCAATTTCCGCCGGCAGCAGGACCTAGCCAGACATTCGCGGTCCTGCTTGTGATCCGTGTCCCGTTTTCTGGTCCCCTTTCCATAGGGGTGACACTTGCCCCTCTGGGCAGTCATGCTGCTAGTAGTAGTAGTAGTAGTAGTAGTAGTAGTTGTGTGTGTGTGTGTGCGTGTGTGTGTGCGCGCGTGTGTGTGTGCGCGCGTGTGTGTGCGTGTGTGCATGTGTGTGTGCGTGCGTATCAGCCTTGCAAGCTGTTGAATGGGGTATGTAGTGGAATGATGGCAAATCCCCTGTGACCCAACCCAAGCGGCCACACAACCAAGACGTTTTATTTAGCTTACATTTGTCACTACAAGGAAAAAAAGAGAACTAACAAAAAGCCATGATCTCGGAACTACTAGTAGTAGTAGTACTTCACTTGACCTAAACCGGAACTAAATCGTACCCGCACGGTACGCAGCGCAGACTGCACGTACAGCAGAACATAACCATGATAACGCGACGCAGCTTGGAAAGCCAGCTAGCTAGCTATGTATGAAACAACGGACCGCAAGCATGACAGCGGGAAATGCAAAGGGCCAGTCGGCAACAGTACACAATGACGATTTATGCTATTGGGTATCATTCATGGC